TGGCGCTGTGGCTCAAGTGGTAGAGCGCTAGCCTTGAGCTGAAGAGCTGAGGGACAGTGCCCAGGCCCAGAGTTCAGGCCCCACGACCGGATCCAAAAAAAAAAAAGAAATGTACTCATTATCTTGTCCATGTAAGTGTAACTCCTCTGTACAGTATTTTCATAATAAAAATTTGAAAAAAGAAAGCTTACCTCAAGACTTAGTGGGGTCAAATGGTCGTCCAGGCCCTCTGTGACCCACATTTCAATATTAAGTTTATGTATGTGTACATACTGATGTTTTTCCCAGTACCTTAAGGGGCTATCATAAGTGCCTTGGCATAGTTTTATGGAGTTCATTTGATTTCATAGTCTACCACTTTCAGTAATTACCTGGCTTCTACATGAACATCTGCTGCTGCATTTCCTTGATATTCAGTTAATTTTTATTTTATTATTTACTTGTTTGTTCATTATTATTTGCAGGTCCAGGGGCTTTTAACTCTGAGTTTGGACACTGTCCCTGAGCTTTTGTGCTCAAGACTAGTGCTCTACCACTTGAGCCACAGCTCTACTTTTGACTTTTTTGATGGTTAATTGGAGATAAGAGTCTCATGTATTTTCCTGACTGGGCTGGCTTCAAACTGTGACCCTCAGATTTCAGCCTCCTGAGTAGCTAGGATTATAGGGGTGAGCCACTGGCACCTGACTTAGTTATTATACTCAATACTGAGATTGCAGTTTTATGAACCAGTTAATTATTTTTTGAAGTTATTACCTAGCCTTATGATCCCAATTGGTATGATCTTAATTTTGGTTGATTAGTCTTTTTTTGTCAATACTAGGATTTCAACTCAAAGGTTTGCACTAATGCTCTGTATTTGGGATATATACACACACATATATACACACATATATATATATACATACGTCTATATATGCATGTATATATATACATATATATGTATATATATCTACATATATGTGTCTATACATGTTTATATATTTATATATCCAATCATTTTTAGTTTCAATAATATTGTTTAGATAGGGTCTCATGTTTTTACTTGCTGGCCTGGACCAGGATCTTCCTTCCTACAGCCTCCCAGGTAACTAGAACCACAAGCAAACACCATCATGAAGCCTGGCTGATTTTTTTTTTTTTTGAGATAGATCTTACTAATTTGTTTTTTTGTTTTGTTTTGTTTTTTGCTGGTCATGGGGCCTGAACTCAGGGCCTGGGCCCTGTCCCTCAGCTCTTCAGCTCAAGGCTAGTGCTCTACCACTTGAGCCACAGCGCTACTTCCGGCTTTTTTCTTTTTGCTTATGTGGTGCTGAGGAATCAAACCCAGGGCCTCAGGAATACAAGGCAAGCGCTCTACCACTGAGCCACCTTCCCAGCCCAATTAAAAGTTTTAAAATCCTGACACTGAAAATACTGTCCATAAAAAAGAAAATAGTGGATTGAACTTCAACACGAAAATAATTTGTCTTGAAAAGATACTAAGAAAAGAATCAAAAGCAATCTACAGGCTTGGGTATCTTTTACAAACATTATGTCCAACAAATAAAATTAGTGGAAACACCATCCAGTTTGAAAATTGGGCTGGCACCAATGGCTTATAATCATGCTTATAATCCTGCCTACTCAGGAGGCTGAAATTTAATGACATATTTGAAACTAGCCCTGGCAGAAAAATTCATGAGACTCTTATTTCCAATTAATCAGCAAAATGCTAGACTGGAGGTGTGTCTCAACTAGTAGAGTACCAGATGGAAGCAGAAAAATGGAACAGAAAAGGCTGATCAAGAATCCAGTTCAAGTTGTAGTACATAGGCCAAAAAGAAAGGCCACTTGCAGTTTGTTTTTTGGTGTTTTGTTTTGTTTTTTGTGTTACTGAAACTTGAATTCAGAGCCTGACTCTTGTTTGGCTTGCTCACTGAGTTGGTCTGATAATAGCTGAGCTTCCAGTCTGCCTTTTTTGCTGTTCTGTTTTGGAGCTAGCGTCTTGCAGACTTTTCTCCTGGCTGGGTATTTTTTCTGGTACTAGGGTTTGAACTGAGACCTCATGCTTGGTAGGCTTGCTTAGTCAGTTGGTGCTCTACCACTTAAGCCACGCCTTCAGCCCTCAAATATTTTTAACCACTCTGTACTATAAGGACTTACAAATGACACAAAATGCAAAATGGTGATTAAAAATACAGATACTTAAATCTAGCAAAAGATGACAACAGATTGCTTATTAGAGAACAGCTCTCAACCAGATACATATTATGGAAACATATGTACTATATACACTTGGGTTAACATTTGCTGAAGAAAATTTTATTCATTGATTTTTAAATTTCATTTAATGTGATCTTACTTTTTGTGTGTGTGAGGATTTTGTTTTGTTTTGTTTTTAGGTGGAGTATTGCTTTTGGAAAATCCAAAAGGTGAAAACAGATTGGACCTTTTAAAGCTAAAGAGTGTTGTTACTAGCATTTTTGGTATTAAAAATGAAGATCTGGCTGTCTTCTGTGGTAACTCAGGTATGGAGGAAGTGCATGGATGTCTGCAGGTCCTCATTTCCCATCAGCTGTGCTGCAGAACCATTGCATTCTGAGGCGGCAGTCGCTGTCCAGCAGCATCTGCCCTATGGTGTCTCTTTTTGCCTCCTCACTGGATAATTAGCTAAAAACCTTGGACTTACCAAGAAGCAAATTTCCCAAATTATTCTGCTCCTGTTAGACACAATTTAGAATCCTCTCTGGTAACTTACAGTTTCATTTAAACATAGTACCTGAATCTTATTAAACTCAGGCACTAAAATTTTAAGTTTTGAATGCCATGCCATTGATTCTGCAGCATTTTGATTTCCTACTATTTGCAGGATGAAAATTTGGTGGTAGAATGTGTGCTTAGCATTTACAAAGCCCCAGGCTCAATCCCCAACATCCCTTTCTCCCCATTCCAAAAAAATTAAATCCTTGATATCATTAAAGACTGGTTTATAAGAAAAGGCAATATCCTTTGGTAAAAAAATTAAATGGAAAGAGTCATTTTAAAAAAATTCATGATAATTTAATAGTGAAGTAGGAAAAAGTAAATGGCTCCAAACTTGTTATTGTTCTTTTTAGAAATACAAAAGCAAACTGACCTACTGAATCTTAGTGGAAAAACACTTTGCGTGACTACAGGATCCACTCCCTCTTCAACCAACAGTCCTAGCAGTCTTCTTTGTCAATATATTAACCTGCAGCTCCTCAATGTAAAGCCACAAGGTATGTTCTCCCTCAACAGTCAACAGTAAGGTGACTAGAATGTCTGACAAATTGTTTTCTTTTTTTTTTTCTTTTTTTGGGTCCGGTCGTGGGGCCTGAACTCTGGGCCTGGGCACTGTCCCTCAGCTCTTCAGCTCAATGCTAGAGCTCTACCACTTGAGCCACAAGCCCCACTTCTGCCTTTTTTCTTTTTGCTGAGGAATCGAACCCAGGGCCTCAGGCATGCAAGGCAAGCGCTCTACCTCTGAGCCACCTTCCCAGCCCCAAATTGTTTTCTTTTTATTTGCTTAGTGCTAGTGTTAGTGCTTGAACTCAGGACCAAGGCATTGCCCCTGAGCTTTTTTGCTGTTGTCGTTGTTTACGCATAGGTATTTATTTATGTTACAGGTAATTTTTCTCATCTGTCACAATAATACAGAGGCAGTAACAACAAAAGCAATAACAGTATCTCTTCTTGTTAGATGCTTATTTAGACTTTCATATTTGTTATAAATATTATTTGTTTTACCTTTCACTACTGCTGTGATTTAAGTATTTCATTACCCCCACTTTATTATTGAGCAAATTAAGGTTTTTAGAATTTACAAATTTACACAACTCTTTAGCATTTAAGTCTAGGTTTCTGGGCACAAAGTCTGTGGTAGTAATTTTTTTTTTTTCATCCATACCCTCAGTTTACTAAATATGTCCTGAAACATTCTGTGGAAATGACATTAAAGAAAACATCATAGTTCCTACAGCTACTCTTTACAGAGTTTCATCTCAGACAACATACTAATGCAACAAATCATTAAAACTCAACTTTTTAATAGTACGTACTTCTTGCAGTTTTTTCTTTTAATGGATTGCTCTTCTCAGTTTACATTTGTGTTAGCAATTCTGAGCTAATTCATTAACATTTCTGTCTCAGATTTTATACCCCTACAAATCTCTAAAGTTATTGATGCATGGGTATGAAAAGAAGTTATGGGGCTGGGGAGGTGGCTCAGTGGTGGAGCGCTTGCCTTGCATGCATGAGGCCCTGGGTTCAATTCCTCAGCACCACATAAGCAAAAAGAAAAAAGCCGGAAGTGGTGCTGTGGCTCAAGTGGTAGAGCGCTAGCCTTGAGCTAAAGAGCTGAGGGACAGCGCCCAGGCCCAGAGTTAAGGCCCCACGACCGGACCCCCCCAAAAAAATAAAAAAGAAAAAAGAAAAGAAGTTATGCTATGACACAAAGATAACAACTAAAATACAAATTCAATAAATACAAGCAGTAAAACCTCAACAACCTAAAGATATACTTGGCTGTGATAAATTGTCCCCAGATACTAAATAAGTATCTGCCAAGACACAAAGGCCACCAACCAAGCCCTTGAGCTTTTTTGATCAAGGATACCACTTGAACCACAGCTCCGCATCTGGCTTTTTGGTGGTTAATTGGAGATAAGAGTCTTATGGGTTTTCCTGTTAGCAATTCTACTTCCAGGCTGGCTTTGAAGCATGATCCTCAGATCTGAGCCTCTTGAGTAGCTAGGATTATAGGCATGAGCCACCCATCCTGGCTGGATGAATTTCTCATGCCAGCTTCAAAGTAGTGTTTTGAAATGTGAGCTATAGCCAAGCATGGTGGCCCATACTTACTGTTATTCTACTTGGATGGCTGTGGGAGGAAGATTGACAGCTTATAACCAGCATGGTCTATCTGCATAGAAAGCTCACTTCATTCATAGATAGATAGATAGATAGATAGATAATAAATAGGTAGAAATTACAGCTAAATGAAACTAGTTCATAGATAGATAGATAGATAGATAGATAGATAGATAGATAGATAGATAGATAGATAGATAGATAATAAATAGGTAGAAATTACAGCTAAATGAAATTAGTTGTTTCTTATTAGCCTAACTGGTCCCAAGGTACTGGCAACTTGCTTTTTCTTTTTACCTTCCTCTTCAACTGAATGGTTGAAGGCTGTTTCTGTATAGACTGTACCTCCAACTGTCAGAGTGTCGCTTCTGTGCCCACTGGAGGCTTTTGAAGCTTTCATCATGGCCCAGTAGCGCTGTCTGCTGTCTCCTCTGCTACAGAGTACACCCTGAGAAATTAATCCAGTATGTTGTTTCTTCTGTAGAGTGTTTAATGGGAACAGTAGGCACTCTCCTGCTTGAAAACCCACTTGGGCAGAATGGACTCACCCATCAAGGTCTTCTGCATGAAGCAGCCAAGGTATTTGGCCTTCGAAGCAGGAAGCTCAAGCTCTTTCTGAATGAGGCTCAAACACAAGGTAAGTTGATTATGCACCAGAAGGTTTTTTTCTTCATTGAAAGTAGATTTTGATGCTGTTAATAATTTGTAGATAAGTATGTAAGAGATGGTACTTTTTTTCCCTTCAGAAATAATATTTTTAAAAAATATTTAAAGCCGGGGCTGGGAAGGTGGCTCAGTGGTAGAGCGTTTGCCTTGCATGCTCGAGGCCCTGGGTTCGATTCCTCAGCACCATATAAGCAAAAAGAAAAAAGCCGGAAGTGGCGCTGTGGCTCAAGTGGTAGAGCATTAGCCTTGAGCTGAAGAGCTGAGGGACAGCGCCCAGGCCCAGAGTTCCCCCACGACCGGACCAAAAAAAAAAAATTTAAAGCCGGGTGCCACTGGCTCACACCTGTAATCCTAGCTACTCAGGAGGCTGAGATCTGAGCATTGTGGATCAAAGCCAGTCCAGGCAGGAAAGTCAGTGAGAATTTTATCCCCAATAAACCACCAGAAAACGAAAAGTGGCACTGTGGCAATGAATTACCTTACTCTTCAGTGTATAAAGCATGTTCACGTGCATTGCTTTATTGGGGCCCATTATAATATGGAGAATTGGATTAGCAGTTGACATATTTCACATCCAGTATTTATGAGAACAGAAACTCAGGAGAGGGACCGGCACAAGCCACTGTCTGGCATCTCCTCCTCTTTCATTCATCTCCCAGCTTCCATGCCTGTTTTGTCAACCTCTGGATAGACATCCAAGCTGTTCTTCAGAGCTCCATTGTATAATCCTGTGTATTCATCTAGTTCACTTTACCATTGTTGCCACTGGAATTGCGTCCCTAAACAGCTCTTCCGTGTGGGATCTCTTTTTCTACTTCCCTTTATCTGGAGCTAGCTATTCTTTCATTCTTGAATGAATGAAAGAGTTTCATTTAGAAGCCACTCTGGAGACTTCTGTTAGTCTATTTCTATAGGCCTAGGAAATTTCTTGTTCATAAAGAAAAATAATAAATCATCTGATAGTTTCTGGTAATTTAATCAAAATTCTTGAGTCCATCTACAAAGAGTTAGATTCAATTATGAGGGAATAATCTACACAAGATTATGATCACTTTTAGTCAGGCACTGGTGGCTCATGCCTGGAATCCTTACTACTCAGGAGGCTGATATCTGAGAATCGAGTTGGAAGCCAGACCAGGCAGGAAAGCCCTTGAGACTATTTAATTAACAGCTCCACTTAGGCATTGACTAAGTGAATGTTACCTATGTGATAAAGAATTTGGTAAGACAAGTTTTATCAAAGTCCCAGCTCTGAGGGAAATCTGTAAATCCTTGCATTTATCAGGAATTCCCTGATAGAAGTGTCTTTGTACTTCATATACACATGATCGTTTATGATATTGAGATGACTCAGGGTAGACTCAGTCCAGCTAGGACTATCTATATGGTACAAGTTGGGGACTTGGGATAACAGTCAAGACAAAGAACAACTACATGGGCAATGAATCAATCATGCCTATATAAGCAAATCTCTGAAAACTCTGGACATAAAGACTCCAGTGAGCTTCTCCACTTGGTCATACCCTGTATGTTGTCACATGATTAAGGCTAGAAGGGGGTGACGCTGACCATTAAGCAAAGATGAATGACCTGAAGTTCCTCATTTGTCCACTCTCCAGATTCTGCCCTTTGCATCTTTCTTTGTCTTTGTTCCAGTTGTTATCCTTGCCCTATAATAAATCTTTCACTAAGTGAAGCCTGAGTGGAGCTGTTGCTGCAGTGGTAGTGTGCTAGCCTTGAGCAAAAAAAACTCAGGGACAGCACACACACACACACACACACACACACACACACACACGATTATCATCACTTCAGATACCATCTACCACCTAAGGCTATTGAGCCCTCATATTCAATAATTTGCTGGAAAGACAAACTCACTGAAAGGTGTTAACAAGCACAGATTTGTTATAGGGGAGGATAACAAGTGGAAGCAGACAAAGAAAGATGCAAAGGGCAGAATCTGGAGAGTGGACAAATGAGGAACTTTAGGTCATCCTTGCTTAATGGTCAGCGTCACCCCCTTCTAGCCTTAATCATGTGACAACATATAGGGTATGACCAAGTGGAGAAGCTCACTGGAGTCTTTATGTCCAGAGTTTTTAGAGATTTCCTTATATAGGCATGATTGATTCATTGCCCATGTAGTTGTTCTTTGTCTTGACTGTTATTATGTGATCCCAAGTCCCCAACTTGTACCATATAGTTAGTCCTAGTTGGACTGAGTCTACCCTGAGTCATCTCAATATCATAAACGATCATGTGTAGAGATTTCCCTCAGAGCTGGGACAATAGTAAGACCTATCTTACCAAATTCTTTATTACACAGGTAACATTCAAAATTATATATACATGTATTATATTTGTATATGCCCAATAGGTAAAACATTTATTTTATTTATTTTTTTTTTTTGTCGGTCGTGGGGCTTGAACTCTGGACATGGGCGCTGTCCTTCAGCTCAAGGCGAGCACTACCACTTGAGCTACAGCGCCACTTCCGGTTTTCTGGTGGTTTATTGGAGATAGGAGTCTCACGGTCTCTCCTGCCCAGGCTGGCTTTGAACCGCGATCCTCAGATCTCAGCCTCCTGAGTAGCTAGGATTACAGGCATGAGCTACCAGCACCCGGCTAAACATTTATTTTTTTTAAGTTGTTGTACAAAAGGTTTCAACTCCACAGGTCAGATTATGAGTACAGTGCATCTTGATTTAGAGTCACCACTTCCATCACTCTCCCCCGTCCCTCCCATCCCTGCCCTCAAGTTACATAGTTCAGTTTTTACATAATGTACATTTAATATAATGACAGAGATGACATAGTTTGTTCACTCTATACACACA